TAAGAAATATGGGGCAGAAATGTAATTTCACAATACGAAATTTTGCTGTTTTTTTTTTTTCAAAGCCTCACCTACATGTAATCCTAACATATCTCTAATTATAAATTAAAAAAAATAAAAATAAAAACTTCCCACTCATACATTCTCTATCACTCTCTTCCTCTCTTCTTCTATTTCAAAAACAAAACAAAAAAAATTCCTCACACACTTTCTATGTGCTCATATGCTAGTAATTAATTATGACAATTATAAGTGAAGTGGTAATACCATACCATGGCGAAAAGTGATAAACAAAATTGTACTACAAGTACAAAGAATCATAATATATAGAGACAAAGCAAATATTTCATCAAATTGAGCTAAACGCGCGCATAAAAATTCAAATGTGTAAAAGGTGAATATTATATGACTCTCTTAGGCTTCAAGTCAAAGATTACGAACTAAAAAGTTGTAGAATCATTGTGCTCACAAATGTTTGTCTTTAATTGCAATTCAAGCAGTTAATAAAAACCTGAAAGCTAATTTTTTATTGTGACTGGAACACGAGGAGTACACCACGTGTTTTATATAAGTAGTGAGAAATTTTATTTTTTAAGTTATTAACTTTTTAACACACATCTCATCATTTGTATAGTGACATGTGATGTACCACTCCGTGAACCAATCACCCTGAAAAATCTCTCAAACGTATGAATGGCTATAAACCAATGAAAATTGGGGAAGAAAGAAACACATGTGAACCCACTCATATTAAAATGCGACTTGAAACCATGATTGCCTCAACTTCATTAGACATTGAAGAGTATGAGAAGCACCCAAAATGAATAATGGCTATCGACATAGGATTCGACTGCAGCCACACTAAGAGAAATGCTAAACCGTGAGAACTTTTTTTTTTTTTTGGGTCAAGTAAACTTTTATCACAACTAAAAACATACACATACACACAAACCCAAGGTCGAAACAAAACACATACACAATCAATACATGGGCCAAGAAAGACAAACAACAAAGGGCCAACCAATAGTTGAAGCCCAAAATGCACAAAAGGGATTACAGACTCCAGAAAGTTCTATAGCATTCACCGCCATTCTCGATCTGTCCTAGTTCTCATCCACAGCCAAGCATCGCCAGATCAATTTCAGCATCCCACCCCGATTAGTTTCCCGAGCACAGCCACAGAGAAAGGATAGTCAGCAACTTAACTGAACAAGCCAACTATCAGGATGAAGTCCGTGGCAACCCACGAACAATACTACCGGTGAAGGCAGATAACAGGGAGAATAGGAATATGGATGAACAAATAGGAATATGGATGAACAAATATGAGGGATACCAACTGTATAAGTGGAATTGAATAGATCAGGATAAAAAAAAATGGGGGAATAAGTTGTAGAAGTACAAAACAGAGAAGAGAAAGAAAGAAAGGGGGAAACAGCGACCGACCCCAGCCGAAACTAGGGCCAACGCCACCTAATTTTCTTAAGTTTGTAAGCCTCACACCAAGGGGTGAGAAAGACTCTCACTTGGAGAGAAAACTTCTTAAAATTATAATTTTGATAAACTATGAGAACTTTCTCTAAAGAAAAACTCTTTATAGACTTTCTACCACCTCATGTTTTGACATAATGTTTTATAATATTGGCATGAGAATTAACGTTAAACCGTAAGGTGACAGAGACTCCATGAAGTGTCCCACTTTAAGAGTCTTTTTAGCATGTCTCATGACACCGAATGTGTTAAAAAAAAAAAATTAAACGCAAGTCAAATCATGGGTAACTAATTTTTGTTAATTACAAAACTCAATGAATTTTAGGTAATAAAAAAAATTAATCAGGATGACAATGTATTTATTTGATACATATTAATAGAACCATGTTTATCAACCAAAAACTAATGAATTTACTGTTATACCCTTTTACACTAATTCAAAGAAAATATTTAAAAAGATAAAAATTGGACAATTATAGTAATTTCACACAAATAAATTTTTGCTTTTTTTTTTTTTTGTTTTTCTACACCTCACAGCGATGTCATCCTTTCAATATCTAAACTCCCTCTCACACACATTTGCACCCATGTCTACTTTTTCCCCACTTTTCGAACTTCTCAAATCCACAAATTTTTTTTACACAAATTAAATTTAATTCTTTATAATATTTTAAATCACATACATAATGTGTGTACTGCAACTAGTTATGATTAAATAATCTTTAATTTAACTAATTTTTTTTACAAATACAATCTTTAACTCTATATAGTAGATATTAGTTAATAATCATGACTAAGTGGGCAATAGGTTGTTGCAAATGGCCCTTTACCATAGTGGTGAAAATAAGTTGAGCCCTTGCATGACAGCGTGGGTTCAAAATCCGTCAGTGGCATAACTAACATTTAATCTAACAAAATCTATTGTTTAAGAAGAAAAAAAGTGGGCAGTAGGTTGTTTAATAAGGACAATAGTTACGATAGTACGAAGATGAGTTAATATTAGAATGTCAGCATCCAACCCAAAACAATTAGCAACTGGTGGAAATGCCTAATATTTTTTTCTTTCTATTTTAATACAATGATATAGTTACGTTAGGGTGCCTTAGTTTTGTTTTTAAGAATAAAATTAAAAAGTGGGTGCCACTTAGTATTAGATCGTAGTGGTATTCATCTTCACTTATAAGTGAGAGGAGAGGTCTTAGGTTCGATTCTCGTCAAATTCAAATTTGAATCAAATTATTGCTAACTTATTGTGAGGATAAGCCCACCCCCTCCTCTTTAACGTAGATAATAAATTTTTTGTTCAAAAGAAAAAAAAAAATGGCCCAAATCCCACATTTCTATTTCTTTCCACCTGTGGGTTTCTCCTATTTGTTTGCTTAATTTCAAACACAGAGGTTTTTTGGGCCAGGCCTGTTTCTATTTAACACAGGCTGCATGTGGACCGATATGTACATGCCTTCCAAATTGCACTCAAGAACTGATACACTTAACAGCTTCTGTGACACCACAATGATACACTATCTTCTTCTATATAGTTGTCACCCACCATGTACAAAAGTTAAAACCTTCTCCAACCACTCAAGTACCATGCACAATTTGAAACCCCCAATCCAAGAGCCAGCAAAATTTGTTAGGGTCTTGTAGCTCAATGATCATGATCATTTACATATGCACTACTGGAAGTTCTGTATTCGATTCTTTCCACCGCAATCAGCTAATTCTTGCATTTGCCACACACTCAAGTCCCATCGTGTCTCCCTCTGGGTTTGCCTTGTAGTGCTCCAATGTTGTGGTTCAATCTGGCAATCATGTCCTGCCCATCTCTAACGGTCCAACAGTTACCTGCAACTAATTGTGCTTTTAAATCTTTCAATTGCAATCAACAATTTCAGAGAATATCAGATTTTTATTTTTATTATCTTTGAGATATCTCTTCATGTTGTGTAAATTTTCTTTGAGATGTTTCTTTTGTGATTACTTGTAAATATCTCCTTGTGTAATGCTTCTTATAAATATTAGGGATTTTTAAACATTACAAGATTAATAGGATTTTAAATAATTATAACCCCATGAACGTCAAGATTTGATTGACAAGAAAAACTGAAAACAAATGAACTGCTACTAGTTATATCAAATAGGTTTTTATTATCACAAAATGTTACTGAAATTTAGGGTGGTATAATCCCACTGAATTGATCGAAACGAGCCGAACCAAATTGTTCACACACACACACACACACACACACAAAGGACTTCCACCGCAGAATGAATAGATGGACACCTACACACTCAAAGAAAGAGACAAACAGAGTTAGACTAACATCGATGTGGTGTTAGGGAAAGAGCATTCGGTGCAAGTTAGAAAGACTGTAGGAATATCCCTATGAGATTCATGAAATATGTTTCGAAGAATCTTGTCATGCTAAGAGACTAATAGACAAGCCCATTACACATTAGTCCATATTTTGGCTTTGTCACCTTTTCGAGTGTCAGCCAGCACGCCTTGACTTCGATGTGCACATGGATATCCAAGTCAGCATGTGTCAGCGTTTCTCCTCATTTTGATCGAACAATTTCAATATCGGTTAATGTCGTCTTGAAGTTTAATTGTGCACATCAATGTCATCCATCCATTTCAATTCCGTAAAAAAATTTGCATGCTCACGTGGCACACAGAAAAACATTCATATGTGTGTATTATTCAACAACTCTGCTAAAAAAATACTTCAAAAAGTTTGACCTTCTTTAAAAATGTGTGCAAAAAATAGAAGTTTTCATACCACATTGATCGATGTTAAAACTAAGAGCGAGGGGAGGTAAATTCAAATGCATTTTGTGATTAAAAGTTTATGAAATCATTTCTTCAAATTACTCCATTCCCTTCTCCATAGAACCTAAGGAGTCTGCATGCAGTGGGAATCATAAAGTCACTGATTGGACGAGTTGTTTACTTTTCTGAGCACATGGCAACCATTGATAGGCCAAAACTATACGACTAAGCAGCTCTGCAAGAAACATTACTAGACTGTAATACTAAGTTGTGAGTTCTATTCGATCTTGCGTAAGTACCAGTCCAATGCACATGGTCTCATTCAATGTGAAAGTGGGTTTTAAGAATGGAGACATGTTCTCCTAGATCTCAGGGTCAAGAAAATGGTGGTCACTCACTGTTCGATCTTAATTCAACATAAGAAAGTACAACAGAAAAAGTTAGTGAGTACACATTAGATTACGATCAAACGGTTGATGACCACCATTTTCTTGAATCTTGAAGTCTAGTCTAGAGAACAGTTCTGTTTAGAAATGAGGTAAGATGTTAAACCCATCAACAATGAAATTTAATCTACTCACAACGTCCACTAGGGCTCGTTTGGTGTCTAAGATTATATTAGGACGGATAACCTACCATATTGAAGAGACATTGAAGGTGTGGCAGAATGGTTTTCTATTTTTCCTGTCAAAACAGTCATGTTATCGTTCAATGACATAAGAGGGGAGGCAGCATATGCAGTAATGATTTTGATGTACCAAATCTATAAACTGTCAAAATAAGTTGATCACAATCAGTTCTTTAACTGGGCCAAGCCACTCGGAATATAAATCTTACAACTCTCAAAACATTCTTCTCTGCTCTTGTCCATCTACAGGCAGATGTAAAAAAACCACCACTACCGCTCACGAAGCCAGCCGTGGCGCAAGGCAGCATGAGCTTGTCGTTCTTGATAAAGCAATGGGGGCACAGCTACAATCCTAGAAATCTGAAATAAGTACCAGCAGATATTAGATCCTAAATGCAAACGGAAAGAAAAGAAACCCATCAAGTATTCTGTTGGCCAATGACTCTGCGAAGTTTACATTTAAAACTGACGCCTTGGCCTAGGTTCTGCTGCAGACACTCGGATAGATCTTCCATTCAAGTCCTGCAGAAAACAAAATTTATAAAACACAATATTGTACACGTAAATGGAAACAACATTGTTAAGAAGAGGTAATGATATACGTACAACTCCATCCAATGATTCAATGGCACTGTTCATTTCATCAGCAGTATCATAAGTTACAAAACCGAAACCCCTCGATCTGCCACTGTCCCTGTCAAAAACTACCTTGGCTTCCAAAACCTTTCCTTGCTCACTAAACAAGTTCTCAAGAGCCAAATTGTCAACACCCCATGCAAGGTTGCCCACGTAAAGGCGGTTGTTAGAGTCATAACCACCACCACCACCTCTGGGACCTCTGGCACCTCTGAAAGAGGAATCCTCAGTCCGAGGAGGAGGAGGTCCATAGTTTACCCTCAATGCCCTGCCGTCAAGTTCCTGCCAAATGCCATTAAGTCTTGCTTAGATACAATACACAGAGTTCTCATGGATGAAATACAACCGAATGACGGCAATACTCAGTAAAACCATTACGAAACTCAACCAATCACTACACCAAAAAATCCACATCAAGCTCCAAAATAACCATTTCAGAATGAAATAATTTTGACCAAATTTCAAACATCAATCAACGAGATAGTTTTCACGATAATGTCATGAAACTCTTGCTCATAGTTATAAAAAATAAACAGGTACTCAAATGACTTCCAGACTCGGAACAATCGATGAATGTTAATTAATACAACTACGGATAACATACAAATTCACAAAATTTCACACTTTCGCACATATAAGAATATATCTGCAATGGTCAGACTTAAATATGAAGACTTACATAGCCATTTAGCTGGCGAGCAGCAGATTCAGCTTCTTGAACACTGGACATAGTCACAAACCCAAATCCTCTGCTTCTTCCGGTCGTCTTGTCATATATCACCTGCAAGAAAACCTCCATATTTAACCACAAAACACAAAACCAGCACCAACCCATTTCACTTTTCACCAAAATTTCATGTAAAAGTTACGAAATTCGAGTGAAAACAAGGAACTACCTCGACCATCTCGACATTTCCAGCGCTTTCGAAGATTCCAGCGAGCTGAGCGCTATCGACGCTGAAGGGAAGGTTACCCACGAAGAGCTTGGGTTCAGGGGAGGCCTCTCCGTCGTCGCTGAGAACCTCCTCATCCTGCTCGAACTCGGACGAGACGGCGACGTTTCGGACGAACCGAGACGAAACGCTTTGAAACCCCTTCCCGGAGTTGAGAAACGAGGCTGAAATTGAAATGGGTTTACAGCCGAGCGCTAGGGCGGAGTAGAGCGGGATTGAGGCGGCTTTGGGGGTATAGAGGGCTAGGATTTTGGGGGAGAGAGAAGGAAGAGCGAGGGCAGCTGTGGAGGCAGTCATGGTGGTTTTGCTCTGCTTCTGGTTTTGCCTCTTTACAGATAAGGTTGCAAAGAAAAACGAGGATTTTACAGAAGCTGGTGTGTTATGGCCAGTGCTCACTTTGCCCACTTGGTGCTAGATCATGGCCGTTGATTTCAGATAGTAGTTGCCAGCTGTTGAGGGAGATGTGAGATATTAGATGGGGAGGGCAGAGATGCGGATACAAGAGGGCATAAGATATTTCGAGTGCCTTGCCAATTGGCACTGTGGACTTGGAACTAGTTGGAAGTGTGGAGACCTCATTTGAAAGTCCAAGATGGGCTGGGCTCAATCCATTTTCTGCATAGATGGGCTCTGTTGGTTACCCAAGCTTAAATTTAAAACGCTAAAGGCAGAGGTCGACGGCTAGGGTTTTTTCTCTTGCTTTTTTTAGCCGCAGGGATTTTTTTTTTTTTTTTTTTTTTACATTACTTTTATTGCTTTTTTTAAAATACAAAAATAATAGAAAGAATGCAGATGACGCTTTACCATAATAGTGGAAAACAATTATGTCTCTGGTGCGGGTTCAATTCTCACCGATTCTTCTCTCCCCTGTAAAACCATCTTCAATCCATGCAATAAAGCTTAAAATATAAGCTCATTAGCACTGTTGACTTGGAACTAGTTGGAAGTGTGGAGACCTTGTTTGAAGTCCAAGATGGACTCAATCCATTTTCTGTGTAGATGTGCTCCGTTGGTTACCCAAGCTGAACTCAAAACCTAAATTCATGTTTACTTAAAAGTTAAAATATAATAACCACTTAGTACTATGGTTTAGTGGTATTTTACTTGCAAGTAAAAGGTCTTAAGTTTAATTCTCGTTAAAGGTGAATTTGAATCACATTATTACTAGTCTATTGTGAGGCTAAGTCTATTATCTCTCCCGTGGATAAAAACGCTTGTTCAAAAAAGAAAGTTAGAATATAAAGAAATAATTTTCATATTATCAAAAAAAAAAAAAAAAAAAAAAAAAATTGGTCTTAACAATTTGGGTCAGTTATATATAAAGCTAAACTCTATATTTTGAAGTTTGTTAGTTTGGTGTAGTTAGTAGCACCTCTTCAGCACCGCCGCCGCCACCAACTCTGCCACCACCACATCCACCGTTTATGTTACTCTCACCAAACCATTATTATTACAAATACCTTTCACCACCATTACATCATGGTTGTCGCCACTCCTACCATCACTTACACCACTAGTGCCCTCCATTGCCACCACAGCATTGCCAGGCCACCCCAACCACTACTGCCACTGGCACCAATCTTGCTACAACTACCATCCCCACCACAATCTCCGCCAAGAGCATGACTATCCCTAAACCCCATATGAGTTTTTATATATTTATTTGCTTCCTAGCCGTTCGTTTTTAACAAAAGAAGGAAAAACATTAGCAAACATGAATTTTATTTTATTTTTTTCATTTAAATGATGGTATCTGGCACATTTCCAACATTTTCTTTCTTAAATGATTCTTCTCATACTAAACTATCATACGTATTCTCAAATCATTAAAATGCAAAAAAAAAATTACTCTTTTCGTTTCTAATATATATTTTAAAATACTTTTTTTACAAACGATAGGACAATCTGTATTAAATTCATCTAAACTACTGAGAGGGCAAACAAATGCTCTTAATCAACTGAGCTACAAACTACTTGCAAAATGTTATAAATTTTTCGTATTCTAATATACTTTTCCAAAAATCATTTTGTAAAACGTTACCATACAAATTTTAGCCAATTGTCCAAGTATTAATTATAGAAACTGAATTTAAGTTTGTCGAATTTTCTTTTTTATGTTGTATTAATTGAGCAATCTGTAAGTCTTTATGTACGTATTTTCAAATCAATATTTTACTGCTTTTCTTTTTAGCAAAAGAAATTTCATCAAAAATGATAAGAAAACTTACATATAACAAACATGTTAAACGTTTCTCTTAGAATATTTAAGATATTATACATGTCGAAAGAACATCACAACCTTACAACTACTAACACATACAATACGATTCTTCAATTATGGAAGACACTTAGCCTAAACCCTAGTCATGAGGATTAAAACATTGCATGTTCAAGAATTATCGTAGAGGCTCCTTGAGAAAAAGACCGCACCAACAAACGTCGATGATTTTGCAATTGTTGGCAAAGAAGCCCTACTATGAGTCGCCCCCAACAAACATCTACAAAAACAAGAGAAAGAGTGCAGATGAAACTTTACTATAGTGGCGGAAAACGATCATGTCCTTGGTGCAGGTTCAATTCTCATCGATTCTTCTCACCTCCTAACAACTAACTATTTAACTCATATATGTTATCGCTCTGTAAAAAGAAATTAAATAGAAGAACTTCTAGATCAAAAGCAAGCGAATAAAAGAAAAATCAATTTGGTAAATAAAAACATATAATCTCATTCATATCACTATACAACATCTAATCATATAATGAATGATTTCGTCTTATACAACAAGGTGGTTTTAAAATCTAGTCACGACAAACAAAATATGGATTTTGCTTGTATCTACACATCTTAGGTTGATTGATATCAATCATACACTTTCAGTCAATTAATGGAAACAATTGCTAGCAAAACTCTTCTACTACAATTAGATGAGGGAAATAAACTTGGAATTTAAATAAAAGTCAGAATTTTTAAATTAACATGCACCAATTCCCTTGTTTGGATTCATAAACATAGAAATTTAAAATTTCCGCGTGGAAAAAAGCTTGGAATTTGGGACCTCCAATTCCCAAGTTTAAATTTCATGTAAATAGGTGTTATTCCCCAATTTCTATAATTGAGAGTTTAAAAATAATAAATTCCGTATTCTCCATTGTTCTTTTAGGTTAACCAAACCAAAAAAATCACAAATTGTAGAAAATAAAATTCCGTCATTTCAATTTCTGTCATTTTAAAATTCTTTAGTAATCTTAAATTTCTTCATACAAACATAGTGTTATGAAATTACTCCATTTTTTGAGTTTTTCAAATTGTACTTCCCTCTAATGTGCCATTGTATACCAGTTCCATGGGAACAAGGGTAGCGGCCAACATTGACAAAAAAAAAAAAAAACAAAAAAATGGATAGCCCCCAACGTGGAGGTATATGGTAATTCAGTACCACATCACTAAATAAATAGTAGAAATTAGATGGTTTTAGTTCAATAAATAATAAACCGAAAATGATTAAGAGAATATGGTAAAAGAACCAACCTATCGACGAAAACCAAATCTTCTCCTACTCTTTACTTCATTGTGGATCTTCTCCTTCAGCGAGCATTTTCTTTGTTTTTGTTTTTTGACAAACGGGGATCAATAGTGATCAAACTTACACCAAAGTGCATAGACATTATTGTTGTTTGCCACTGTAGTAAAGCCCTGCAAAGAACATTTCCCTTTAACTGGTTTACATAACAATTTTCTGCGAAAACAAGATATATGAGGTGCTTAGGAGTGCTAATTAATATGCTTACCTTGGTTATCTTAGTTTCTGCGCCAAAGCTGACCAAAGTATAAAGGTTTGGGTTACTATGATTCTTGCCATAAACATCTTCAGCTCGTTGGACTTTACCCAAAGGCAAATCAACTGCTTCAAGCGACGAAAAACATGAAAATTCCATAGATCCGTTTCGGCTCTTAATTTTAAGACTTTTACCCTGCAACATTTCCCTTCAAGGGTCCTGCAACATTTCCCTTCAAAGGTCCTCTGTAGTTTCCATTTTCCTATTAAAGGACTGTATGTCAACTCCACTATGAGTAGGCCTCTTTTTTTTTTCTTTTTTTTTTTTTTTTTTTAATACAGGTAAGGGTTTGTGTTCTTCACCAAATCAAGTGTTAATTCTTTCGTCTTATACGGGGTAATCACCTTTAGTGGAACACTTCGCATTCCTAAAAAATCATGTGTCCAGTCTGTAAAATGAACGTCAACACATCTTTTATAAGAGTTGTCAAACAGTAAACATGTTATGTTGTTAACTAGATCATAAATAAAATTGAAATTATATGCTTCAGTGCTCTGGAGTGAATATCAAGTCTAGTGTAACATGTCGGTCTATCTGAACAAATCATAAATAAAGGCTAGGAACTTGTCTTCTTATAAATTCCTGCTTAGCGCACATACATAATCATATAAAAACAATATGAAATTATTGAAAATAGAATATGCATATGGTAAAAAAAAATCCTAGCCTCCAGAGAAAACCCAAAGCAAATCTCGTCGTAGGGGGAAGAAGGAGAAGCAATTTTGCTTTTCCTCCTCCCCTCCGTTCCGTCTTTTCACTTTTCTAATTTATTGTAGTGGATAATAGTCCCCCTTATGGTGACTAAGTCTTTGTCTAAGCTAGCTAAGATTTGAGTTCTCTTTCACTTATTTATTTTGTCATTTTTCAATCCCACTTTATCCCAAGATCTCCCTCTTAAGCTTTTTTTTTTTTTTTTTTTGGTAGTGCGAGTTTGGCAAGAGATAGGATGATTTTTGTGGTGTGGGTTTTTTAGTTTATAATACGGCTTTTGTTCATGTTGAATTTGCTCTTTTGGGCTTGTGTCTGTTGTTCAAGTCTTATGGTAGCATTGATGCATTTATTTTGATGCAACTGATAGTTTCGACGGTGGTTTTGTGCGTAGAGTTTATTGTATTGGTCATTATTTGTTTCTTTTGAAATTTCTCTTTGGATTCAGCATTGCTTGTATGCAAAGAGTGTTACCTTACTGGTTTAATTGGTGATTTTGTGCGTAAAGTCTCTCATGAAGTAGATTTTGAAGTGATTGAATTCCTAGTTGCCAGGGTTGAAGTTCGTTTAGCTTTGGAGTTCTATTTGTGTTCTAGTGCTCGTCACATCAAAGGATCTTGATAACAACACTATGAAAGCTTAACAAAGAAGCCATGGAGTTTTAGAGAGAGAAGTCAAAGAAAGAGATCAATTGTATTACTTAACTAGATAAATTAGTTACAAAGGGATAGCTCAACAACTATATATAGTTTGTAGGAAACTTAATGAT